TTAATCTCCACTACCACAAAAACAGGAAAAAAACTTTTGGTCAATCTATTACTGAACCTTGACGTATCCATTTGAACACAGCTGGAGAACCAACTTTAGGATTTCAGAACTTAACCCAAACTGAAGTTTTTCAAGTGGATATATAAGAATAATAAACTGGTTTTGGGTTGTTGAAACACACACCCTAAATTTCTACAAGGTCAGACTTGTCACCTTTTACACTTTCAGGAAATCATAAACCTATGTGTCCCTGCCAACCTAATCCCTGAACACATCCAGACAGATAAGCACTCTCCTCCAATCACAAAACACATTTCATAGTCTTTTCTGCATCATAATAAATCTTTTATCTTCCTCAAAACATATCTTTGGAAGGAAAAATTCTATTAAATTGAATTAAGTCCAAACCTAAGTGAACATGCAGATACACAAAAATAGTCAACACTACCTATCTGTACACGATGCCAAAAATGCTTTCAGGCATATTTTTTAACAGGTTTTTTTTTTTTTTTTTTTTTTCAGGGGTGTGTTTTGAGACAGGGTCTATATAGTCCAGGCTGGCCCTGAACTCCTAGCAATGCTCCTACCTCAGTCAGGCCACCCTGCCCAGATGAACAGAATTTTTCTTAATCCAATTGTTTCACTTTGTGCCAAAGCAGAGCTGGGTATAAGAAATTAAATAAACCAGGGTGGTGGCCCATTCCTATAATCTTAGCCTTCTGAGAGACTAAGGCAAGAAGATGGTAAGTTCCAAGGCCAGCCTGGGCAATTTAGCAACTGCATAAAGTCACTATCTCCAAAAGAAAAAAGCAAAAGTTTTTAATTGAAAAAAGAAAGAAAAAAATAAGGCCAAGAGATATGATTCAGTACAGAGGTCCTGGATTCAATCCTCAGTGCCTCAAAAAAAAAAAAAAAAGATATTATTAGAACTTCAGACTTTTTTGCCCATGGAGATGGCTCAGTAGAATAAGCACTTCCCTGGCAAGTGCAAAAGCCTCAGTTCAATCCCTGGTCCTGGAAAAAAAAAAAAAAAAAAAGAACTTCAGACTTTTTTAAACTTTAACTTCACATGTGAACTTAATAAAGTCAAGGAGCTATAAATTCCACTGAAGCCTATTATTTGACATTCAGATGAAAACAAAAAATTTATACAACCTGTATTATTAACTGCTAGTGCTAGGATCCAAAAAAAAAAAAAAAATCCTATAAAAATATCAAAATAGTAACATCTAAAAGATGTTTATCTAATCTAATTATCTAATCTAGGAGTAGAAATGGAAGCAGAATCCTGAAGATGCATCAATAAATGATATTTCCTTGTCAAAATGTGATTCAGGGGACTGCGAAGATAGTTCAGCGGTGTAAGTGTCTGCCTGGCAAGCACAAGGTCCTGCGTTCAATCCCCAGTACCCACCCCCAAAAGTGATTCAGCTAGAGGCTGAATCACATTTTGTGATATAAACACACTGTTTCTGAGAAGCTTGCTTAAAGGCCACATACAATCAGTTCTTTCTGGGTTGGGGAGTAAGGTGAGATTTGTTTCAAGTTAAGAAGTATTAAAAACATACACACACACATAAAAACATCACTTTACACACACACACACAAAAAAAAAACATCACTTTTAACATTCTTTCATGCTTAAAAGGCAAAATGAGTTATTCTAGAACTCTAATCCTTTAATAGGAAAGGAAAACCACCTTTCCAGAAAATAATTGATGCACATAACTAAAACTCCCGTTTATGAAGGTGTCTGTGACCATCTGTTCCCTCATCTATGTTAGAATGTTTAGGGTAGACTTCTCTCACCAATTCAAAATGGCAAGGACACAGCTGGGAGTGGGAATGGTATATTTATTTCCCTTAATCCCAGCACTCTGGAGGACTTCAGCAGTAGAAAAGAAAGTCACGTGGGCCTGGGGGCCGTACACCTGTGATCTCAGTACTCAAGAGGCTAAGGCAGCAGGATCCACACGGCCATGTAGTGAGTTCAGGCCCAGCCTGAACTACATAGCAAGGCCCTGTTTCAAAAAAAAAGAAATAAAAAAGTAAGCACATTGGAGCCCAGCCTAGGCAACCTGGCAAGACCCTGTTTCATAATAAATTAAAAGACTGGGAGCCAGGCATGGTGGCACATGCCTGTAATTCCAGCACTCCAGAGACTGAAGCAGGAGGTCTACCTTAAGAAAGTCAGCGTTTCTAAATAGGTATCAATCACCTAGACCCAAGTGAGTCACTAGCCCAACCCCCAACAGAAAGAGACCCTACCCCACATTCCAACCCCCAATAGGAAAAGACCCTGTCCCATATGTAATCCCATTGGTTGACCATAGTTTTGTCCCACCTCCTGCCCACCTAAGCGAGTTCCCATTCTCTCTACCTTAGCCTCACATGGTTTTACACTATAAAAGTCCCTGGAAGAGATAGCTTCCCGGGGAACTACCTGCTCGGGCACCCCTCCTGTCCCTCTCATGGACAGGAGCTTTCTTTCTCTCAATATATTCTGCTCATAAAAAAAAAGAAAAGTCAGCCTGCACTCCATAGTGAGTTCAAGGCCAGCCTGAACTGTATAGCAAGACCCTGTCTCAAAACAAACAAAAAAGGTCTGGAGACAAAACAAACAAAAAAAAGTCTGAGCCTTTGCTCAGTGCAAAGGCTTTCAAGCTCAATCTTTGGCATACTTGCAGGTGTCCTACATCTGCAATTCCATCACTTTGGGAGGCTGAGACAGAATGATCACAAGTTTGCTCTATCTCCCAAAGCAATTTAGTGAGACCCTATCTCAAAACTTTAAAAAAGTTACAAGAGTTCCAGTGATACCTACCCAGTTTAAAAAATAAAAGTCAAGAATGCAAGGGCCAGGGAGATGGCTCAATAGAATAAGTGCTTCCCTGGCAAGCGCAAAGGCCTGAGTTCAATCCCTGGTTCTGAAAAAAAATAAATAAATAAATTAAAAAAATAAAAATTAAAAATTAAAA